CAGAACTCTATGCACTATCAATGGAAATAGACTACATTCTACATAAGAAAATAACTAGGGCTGTTCTTTCTGTTTATTCTCAGAGTGTGATTGTTGCAGTTTGCTCTGTTAAAGACACTAAAAACATGCTTGTACAACAAATTCAGAGTAAACTTATCGCTGCTCTACATGATGGTCAAAGCATAACATTTTGTTGGGTACCTAGTCACGTTGGCATAGTGGGCAACGAGAAGGCCGACAGGCTTGCAGTCTCTGTGGGAAACCTTGTCCAAACGTCTTTCTGTTTACCATATCAGGATATAAAGCCTTTAGTAAAGTCATCACTTTTTCGTTGTCGGCAGTTGGAATGGGACAGGGAGTGCGAAAACAAGCTCCACGTTACAAAGCCTGTTCTTGGAGCCTGGGAAAGCTCTTCATGCAAGAGTCGTCTTTATGAAACCTTGCTGTGCCGTCTGAGAATTGGGCATTCTTTTATCACTCATAAGTGCCTACTTTGGGGGGAAGATCCTCCTTTTTGTGATCAGTGTGGTGATACTCTTACAATTTTATATATCTTGTGGTCCTGTCCCGCTCTGGAGCACAAGCATCGTATTTATTTTCCCGAGTTTTTTCGACAACAGATCCCGTTTCATCCGGCCCTCCTGCTGGGGGAGAATCCCATAGTCCCTTTTAGCAGGGTAATAGACTTTCTTACTAGCATTGGCATTTTATACCAAATATAGCTTTACCAAATCCTAGGTTGCACTTTGGTAAAACCCTCATCAAAGCATGCTGATTGTTACTATCGTTTGGCGCAGATGGCCTCGTAGCTCTTGCGCCATTAAACCCCCAAAATCATCATCATCATTTCAAAGTCAGAGTGTAGTATATTTCAGGTCAAAATGGGCAGCCTTTCCCCAAGCCCGGCAGTGTAGAACTTGCGCTATAGTGATTGCACGAGGGCACCTCGAGAAGGAAGTTCATGGCGTCCCGAATACAGAAAGAGAGGACCTGCTTGCTAAAACAAATAATGTAGCCCTAAAGTTAGACGTACCGTTACTGACGGCGGTTGAGGTTGACTGAAGGATGAGGAAGTGAAAGTGCCTCGCATCATTGTAAGGTCCTCGAACCAAGCCGCCCGAAATTTGCGACTAAACAACAGATAAAAATTTAAACGAGAGGAGAGGAATTAAAACTTGGGCGTGTTGGTAAGGCACGATTATTTAAAACGTGCAGCGGAACAGAAGGGACGGAAGAAAGGAGCGATTGTTTGTCTCCTTTATTCCGTCCCGTCTGTTTCGCTGTACGTCTTGAAGAGAGAGGAGAGGGCTCACCTGCTTGAAAATATGACAAAGCAAAACAGTACACTACTCTGGATGACAAGGAAATGGGTAAAAGAAATATCTTTTCAATTTGTTTGGCATGCAAATGGCAAAATTCTTGTGACACAAAAGGTAGGCGACCGTGCTGTTGTAATAAAGTATTCAAATGAAATAAACAACATGTGCTAAATGCAAAAAAAAAAAAACTGAATTGGTATGTTTTTAACAATGTTTGACCATGACGGTGTGCGTTTTTTTTTACCTAGGGAAGCTTCTTGTTCACGAGGTTGAGTGTTCTTTCTTAAATGTTTCCATAAGAATGCACAATCTGATAAAAATGAAGTGTTGAGTTTGGAGGTTCTTTTTCCGCAGTTTACATTCTCTTTTGATATAATATGCACTCGACTTTACCAGGAACCTTGGAGTGTATATTGACAGCTCACTTTCTTCGCTACAGTAAATGCGGCGTTCAGGACGTTAGGAATCATTTCAAGAATTTGTCGTCAATTTTCAGCTCCCTATTGCTTGCTACCCTATTGAAAATTCCATCAAGGTACGTAATTTGGGACACTGACTGCCAGTCAGCAGCCTTGGTGGAACGTGATGGACCATCAGACGTCATCTGATGGTCCATCAGATGACGTCTGACTGCCACTGCCAACGGATTTTCATAAACAAGGGCAGCATTTATATAAGAGTAAAGCTATACGCACTCATAAATATCGCCAAATGCCTCGATAAAACAAAATGTCCGAGAAAAACAAAAGAAAAAAAAAAGCAGAACAACCGCGGATTCGAACCCGCGACCACTTGCGTACAAATCGCACACCTTAACCGCTACGCTATGGCGCCGTTTTTGAACCTCGATTTCACTAATCGTTTTATACGAGATCCTTCGGCTGCAAATGCAGTTAAGCCGTCAGCACGTTATGCAAAGCACTCGTACATCACTCGCCGTACTTCAGTTCTACTCACCTGCCATGTAGAGTACTTTCGCGTCGTAGAATGATCCTTTTGTTCGCGCGTCACCGGCCCAGTAGACCTGGTACACCTTGTCGTCTTCAACTACACCGCTAAAGTCCCTTACATCGTCGGAACTCACAACAGGCTGGGTCTTGTCGGGTAGAAATTCTACTAAACATAAGACATTGTAGAACCCTGGCAGGACCGACAGGTTGGAGCAAGCGGGCAAACAAAACGAGTCGAGAGCGATCGTTCATGAAAGCTCGGCGAAGCGGCGAAGCCTCTATGGGCGAAGCGAAGTGCCGTTTTCGGCGCTTCGGCGGGCTTCTGATCAAGGTTGTCGGTCGGTTGCGTGTCAAATATCTAACGTCAGCGGTTTTATGGGCTCACGTCCTGAAATCGTTTTCTCGTGCATAGATTACTTTTCGTATTCATAGATTTGACGAAATAGTGGTGTCCGAACGAACTTTACGTCCTTTGACCGTACGTCTGTCTGCACGTCAAAGCTTTTTGACGTACAGTTAGAGACAATCGATGTACAGTCAGAATCGCCACCAAGACATCCTGATGGAATTTCGCGGCGGCCGACTGCCATCAGGAAACCATCAGAAAGCCGACAAGCAGAGTCTGACTGGAGTTTGACTGTCGGTCAGAGTAACTTGTTGGCCAATCAGACATGCTTGACGTACAGTCAGGCACAGTCAGCGGTCCACTAGAAAACACTGACTGCCAAACAGGGTTACATTGATGGATTTTTCCTTCGGGTACTCTTATTTAGGTATCTAGCTCAATCGCGACTGGAATTTGCCTCAGTTATTCGGAATTCGCAAGGGCTAGCTATACAAAATGTGCAAAAACGAATGGTAAGAATTTTATGTGATATTTTTATCACTATGAAACATTGCTTTTTAAATTTTTGCTGCATAAATTGACCGTGAGAAGGCAGTACAAAAATTTTCTATTCCTTCACAAAGTTGTTCATGACAGTAAATTCGGCGGCTTTATTACAAACTATTGAGTTTCATGTTCCCTCCTGTCCGAGCTGAAACATTTAAACTTTTTTTCAATCTTGCTTGTCCCCTGTGATCCAATTGTGAATGATACAAATTGCTTTTGATTCACTAAAATTTAACCTCAACATATTTTCATCCACTCATGAGTTTATGTTAAATCTATGTTACTGGATGTCTGCGAAGTAATCAATAATCGATTTACGCATTTTGAAAAAGTTGCATGACTTTTATTGAGTAAACATTGTTGTTTCCTGTATTTTTAGGGTTTTACTCCATGTATGTTTAGTGCACCACACTGTAAACCAAGGGGCTGTTTGTGAGCACAAAAAAAATAAAACAATTTATTTTTATTAATATTATGCTAACAGAAACATGGCCGGAGTCCGGAGTGCTTAAATTGCCCTTGTACTTAAGTTACTTTTTTTAACCGCGCGTCTCGTCATGGGGGAGGAGTGAGTTTACTAGTTAAGCCGGAGCACCACGCGTTATCACTTAAATATCGTACCATGCCGACGCTGTCCATTCGCTTCACGTCACGCAGTCGCCCGCGCAATTTCTTTTTTGTTTCTCAAAAAGTGGAAAGTTTACAGTAAGCAGATAATAATGCCGAGGGTGTAGCTGGCCAAGTAGGCAGCTCGCCCGTCGCCTAGCGGGTATCGAGCTTTGCTCTCACGGAAAGGGCCGAGGTTTTCGTGAAAATATTGTATTCTAATAAAGCATTAAAAGCATTATTACACCACTTTTAGAAGGTTCTATATATTAGAGAAAAAAATCGACTTGACTAAAGAAAAAACGCATGAGCTCTTTTAAAAAACTTTATTTATTTCACTGCGCAAAACAAAGAATCACAATGGTAGGGATTCAGAAAAAAAAAATTCTTAAGTGGGCCTTTTTAACTATTCGAATACGGCCGTTTTCGCGAATCGAAAGCACAAAAGAAGTAACATTGATGGGAATGCGTTTGGCCACACAGTCTTGAGTCGTTTTGATATAAAGGGTACAGCCGTTCGCATCCATCATTCCAACAACCCCGTGTGTCGTGTTATATACAAGGCACTGCAATTACGTTCCAAAACCTTCCATCACATGTTCAGTCTATAAGAAAAATTACTTGATATCGTTAAGACGTCTACGGTTGAATAATGCTCGAACTGAGTCGAAAATGTATTACTATACTCCTACGCTTGTCCAAATGTGTCTACTGATTATATCAATGTATGAATAAAGAAAACAAGCATTTAGAATGGGTAGGACTAACCTCTACAATACTACAGCAGAACCACATTGGAGGTCAAAGTATGTATTACTTTATCCAGGACACCAGTTTTTTTCGCACGAGTCAGATTTGCATTCATATCAGAGTGTCATAAATTCACATGGACGGACTAAAAGCCTTGTAATGCTAAATTATGCAGGACACGCCACGACACAATACAAAAATTAGCAACAACGTTTTTTTTTAATGTAATCAAATAAGATAAATTGAGCAATCATAGGTTTTATTTTGGAAGACGAATTTTTGAATTCTGCATAGTTCAGTTGCATGCGTGTTGGTGAAATCCCTAGATTTAAAATTCGTTGGTATTTCGTTCAACACGACGGCTGAAGGGGTGCAAGAAGGTGACTGGTGTCAAACTAGGCATGAAATTTTGAGTGTTTTAATATAAACGTCAAGAAGCGAATTCTATATTTTAATATACTAGGTAAAAGAAGTTGACATGTTTTAAAGCCTTGTACTAACCGACGAGTCTTCATTATTCGTAATTTTCGCGTCAAGTTTCTTTTCGTAGGTACCCTTTTTATGCACATTGAGCCGGTTCTTGCATTCCTTTTTGTGTAGACCGTCGTCGTAATTGGTCGAGCTGAAGGGAATTCTATTATTGTCGTCGTTGACCTGGAAGAGAAGATAACCGACGGAGAGACCATTGTTGCCAGCTGTACCGTTCGCGCTGTGACCGCTCTTCAACTCGAGCGCTGCGTTTTGCTTTGCGGCCTCAACTGAAGAATTGGGTTTTCCCTTGAACTGTCCGAACGCCAGGCTGTCAAGGGCGTCGATTGGACACTCTATGCACAGGTAGGAGATGGCGGCGAAAGCGTACGAAGTAATGATCAGGGATATGTAATTCTGAGCCTGAAAAGACAAAATTAATCAAATAAAAACTTCAATTTCTCTTCAACACAACGTTGAAAACGGAAAAGAAAAAAAAAGCGTTTGACTTAAACGTGCTTGTAGGTATCGGTTTCCTATCGGAGCACATTTTCGTGGAAGCAATCCTGCCCCTTTGGCCGAGGCGCGAAGGTAGTGCCTCGCTTCCCTCGCAGGACAAGAAGAAAAGTGTGGTGCACGGACGTAGTGGTCTTTCTCGACCAAGAGGCAAGACCGCTGACAGAAGGATGCGCTCCGAGAGAAAACCGAAACCTAAAACCGTGTCCAAATCAACGAGGTAGAGAGGCTTAGAGCGATAAACTGGTGAACCGTTCACCTGGCAAAAGTGACCCTCACTTAACTGCCGCCATGTTGTACAATTTTGACCACTAGACACGTGACCGTACCACATCATGAGGATTTTACGGAAAACTGAGTCGAGATCTGTATTGTCGTCGCTGTAAAAAAAAATAAAAACATAATGAACTATCTTTTTGAATACTGTTGGCCCCGGAAATAAGTGTCTCCGATTAAAAATATAAAAAAAAAATAATAAATAAAATATACAGCACCGCGGCTGGCGGCATCTAGCGGAGGCATTGCGAAGCTCCCCGAGTTTTTGCCGTAAAAGCAGATTTTGGACTTAAAACGAAAGAAACGTAACTTATCTCGTGGGTACTGTTAGTAAAGATCAATAGACAATTATTTGTGCGCGGTACTTCGCTCAAATTAAAACAAAAAAGATCACGTGTCTAGTGATCGAAAATCTGCAATATGGCGCTGCCAATGGGGGGTAACTTTCAGCTGTCAGTTTATCGCTCTAGGGCCCTCTAAATTATTAGTTCAAATAGAGCTTCTCTTCTTTTCTATTTTTCGAACACCATAAAATACGGCCGTAGACCTTTCTAAAAAGGCAAAAAATGACCCCATTTAGTGGTTTCGACAGTGCGCACCAAGCTTCTAATTGGAACCATATATATGCTTATCTTCACTACTATAAAAATTGATTAGTAATTTCTCCTTATTCATTTAGCTAATTAGTATGTTGATTTTTTGTTTGTTTGTTCGTTTGCAATCCCTGATGTTCGTCGTTGCTGGCAGTTTGTTCCCGGAAAGGCGTGTTTTTTTTTTCTCGACTAGCCAATTTTTAGCGATTGTTGTAAATCTTCGCGGAAATATCCTATATATTAAGAAGTTTTGAACTTTATGTTTCAGAGCCTGTGGCTTAGTTATTACGTGCCAGAGCATTGTATAAATTGTCTAAATGTCACCTTGCACTGGTCGGAATCAATGTGGAAAATGGAACGCAATGACGGTGTGCAGTCAGGAATTGAGCCCCAATTATGTCGATCTATGGAACCAGGCTTGCCAGAAAAGAAGTTCAGCTTCCCTTTAAATTAGAACGGCGCAATTCCTAAAACCGCTTCTGGAAAAACAAAATAACGCAATCGAAAATCGTTCGAGAAATTGCCCACGTAGCACCCAATATCGTGCGAACATTCCCTGTGTGTTCTGAATGTTGAAGGAACGTTAAAACACCATTCGGAACGTTCTAAGAACGTTCGTATGCGAATATTCCTTACTACGTAGCTGCTCAACATTCTTGGAACGTTCGCTGGCGAACATTCGTATGCACAATGTTCTCGGAACGTTCCCCTTCAAACATTCATATGCGCAACTTCTTAGAACGTTCGCTTACGAACATTCTCGAATATTCGCAGGTGAAGCCAACTTTACGGAGCTTTCACGCAACCTGTGGTTCGAAACACCATCCACTATATGCCACTTTGTGCCAAGAATATTCAAATTAAGTGGAGTTTCTGGAAACTTAGCATATATATATATATATCAGGGTGTCGAACCGGAACCGAACCGAACCAAAAACCGGAACCGAACCGGTATTTTTTCCGGAACTGAACCCGAACCCGAACCTTTATATTGTTATCGCGATGAACCCGAACCGGAACTCAACCGGAAAAAAATAACGGTTACCGGCTCATGTCAAAACGGTTCGGCCACGCGCTGTTGACAATGAATGTCCTATCAATGCCATTTGTTTCTTAAGTGCCGTCAACTGACACACACCTCGCTTACGTATTTTTCTTCTCCACTCAGTCTTAGGAATATAAACGCTGCATCCATGAATCTTGACAAACGCTGCATCCATGAATCTTGACAAACGCTGCATCTATGAATCTTGACAAAGAAACCAGTATTGCGCTGGTCGCGGCTTGTACGGAAGAAAAAGAATTGGAAGGCTGTGCAAAAAAAAAAAAAAAAAAAAAAAGTCGCGTCACGGGATTTCATTTTTCTACAATCTCGTAAATCCTAAATGCTGCTGTGTGCTCATTTCATAACACGTTTCTAGAACGCGCGAGTTCTTGAAGCTTGCTTCCATCGGAATGAGAAAAGAAAAGGCTGTGGAGTTTGATAATAATGCATCCGGTTTCGTATAGGCACTTAGAAGCTAACATATTTGTGAGACAGCGAACTCTTCTATTTTAATATTTATCCTATTACGTCCTTCTGGCGTTGCGTTCGGTGAAGTGTTTTTCATATTCCGTATCTTGTTTAATGAAAACTTCTTTAAGGGTCTAATTTGAGTTACCGAAGGCTAGTTCAAATAAAGAAAGCTGTATTTTCTCCCCACTGTTCCTTCATTTGCTTACACGCCGAGGTGGCGGGATAGTTAACGAGTTCTACTTGTAAGTGGGTTTGTAAGCAGGTCGTGGATTTTACAGCTACTGCGTCGGACCCAATTAGATAAAGTCCGAATGCGTAAACGTCGGTGAGGTAACCTTTGAGTGCACATAAAGAAACCATTCCTGGTAGAAATCCCTGAGCCTTACACTACGATGTATCCCGTTTCGTAATTGCTGATTTCAGATGTTTTATTTGTAATTTATTTTGATGTTGCAATTTGTCATTTATAATTTCCGAACCGGTTCGCGAACCGGTTCGCGGATCGAATTAATCAAACCGGAACTGAACCGGAACAAAATAAATTTACCTGAACCTGAACCGTAACCGAACCCGTATTTTTTTCGGTTCGACACACTGATATATATATTGTCAGGAAGGTGAAGACGACGACGGGGCAGTGGCGCGCACCACCCTCTCGCGCCAGGCCCCACGGGCCGGCTCGGCCTCCATAAATCCTTAGTGTGTTCTATCATCGTGTACTGTCCTGTCCTTTCTGCTGCCGACAGCATCACCCTAACAGTATGGTGGAGGGGCGGGGTATACTCATCTCCATCATTGAACATCGGCGCCGCTATGATCCTCTGAACCCGCCTCGTTGAAGCAGTCATCCACAGCAGCAGACCGAACACCAGCCCATGGCTCCGTCGCCCAGCCCCCGCCAAGACGCCATGACAAGCCGAATCAGACAAAGCCGACAGACGATCTCCCGCCCCTATCCCCAGCCCCCGACGTTCCGACGCTTCTCAGTGACGTGAGCCCCCCAGCCCGGACCATGCCGTCGTGTGGCTGGTGCAGAGATCTGTGACGCTGCGGAAGAGGCCGAAATTCAACGTTTCCATCTTGATCCTCACCCTCGCTGTCGGCAGCCGTCCTTTGTCCTTCTGTGTGTGTGGCTTTGTAAGTGTGCTTTATGTGTTCATTTATTCACCGGCCGGGTCGGCCGTTTTCGTCCGAGGGAGTACTGTCAGGAAGGTGAAGACGACGACGGGGCAGTGGCGTGCACGACCATCTCGCGCCAGGCCCCACGGGCCGGCTCGGCCTCCATAAATCCTTAGTGTGTTCTATCATCGTGTACTGTCCTGTCCTTTCTGCTGCCGACAGCATCACCCTAACAGTATGGTGGAGGGGCGGGGTATACTCATCTCCTTCATTGAACATCGGCGCCGCTATGATCCTCTGAACCCGCCTCGTTGAAGCAGTCATCCGCAGCAGCAGACCAAACACCAGCCCATGGCTCCGTCGCCCAGCCCCCGCCCAGACGCCATGACAAGCCGAATCAGACAAAGCCGACAGACGATCTCCCGCCCCTATCCCCAGCCCCCGACGTTCCGACGCTTCTCAGTGGCGTGAGTCCACCAGCCCGGACCATGCCGTCGTGTGGCTGGTGCAGAGATCTGTGACGCTGCGGAAGAGGCCGAAATTCAACGTTTCCATCTTGATCCTCACCCTCGCTGTCGGCAGCCGCCCTTTGTCCTTCTGTGTGTGTGGCTTTGTAAGTGTGCTTTATGTGTTCATTTATTCACCGGCCGGGTCGGCCGTTTTCGTCCGAGGGAGTACTGTCAGGAAGGTGAAGACGACGACGGGGCAGTGGCGCGCACGACCATCTCGCGCCAGGCCCCACGGGCCGGCTCGGCCTCCATAAATCCTTAGTGTGTTCTATCATCGTGTACTGTCCTGCCCTTTCTGCTGCCGACAGCATCACCCTAACAATGTATATATATATATATAAGGGATCAGTTTTACCTTATATTTCTCTAACGAGGTTTTGGATATAAGATGTAGGAAAAATGTAATGTTTTTCAAAACTTGATAATGAACTTGGCACTCACTGCGTATGTAGAGGGGCAGTTTTGAATAGACCCGATTTTTAAGCACCTGGGGCTCATAACTTTGAGAAAAGGTATTTCCCAGTTGAGTGTGGGATGCCATGTTTATCTGTCTGTACTTAAGCTCAAAGTGACTAATCGGTTATCTATGCAGCACATTTTGAATGAAAGATGTTGACAAGTGACAGGTAGGAGTAAACTGTCGTTAGTACATGCTCAGGCTGGTGCCCTGGGAAAGCGGCTAGCTTGTGCTTGCGCCTTCTAAAAACACCTTTTGGTTGAAAAAATATCGATCACCCTGTAAGGAGCTTTATCACATCCATATATGTAGTACGGCTCATTGGGTCTGTAGCCTAAGCAAGCCGTAATTGTGGAATCTTCGTAAATAGTCCTGAGAGAATGTTCCCTGAATGTAGCGATGTACCCGCACCACACTCTGAGGAGATCGAAATGATGTCCCTGCATAAATTTGGAACATTTTAAGAAAGTTGCAGAAGTTCTTTGGACGTTCTTAGAACCTTGTTAGGGTATTTGAATGTTGATTGAATGTCCTGGTAATGTTCTCTGTCGTTCTCAGAATGTTCTAAGAATATTTCCTAAAAAACGTTCCCCGAATTTAGAGGCAAGTGCCTGCGCCATATTCTGACAACGTTGATAGAACGTTCTTACGCAAATTTGCAATATTCCAAAAATGTTGCAGAAGTTCTTTGGATGTTTTGAGAAAGTTTTTAGAACCTTGTTAGTATATTTGAATGTTGATTGAATGTCCTGTTTATGTTCTATGTCGTCTCAGAACGTTCTAAAAATATTCTTTTGAAAACATTCCCCGACTGACAACGTTGATAGAATGTTCTTACGTAAATTTGCAACATTTAAAAAAATGTTGAATATGTTCTTTCGAACATTCCCGGTATGTTCTGAGAACGTTATCCTGCTACGTGGGTGGTTTCACACCGTCTTTTGAAAAACGAACCACCCGTTGATAATGAATGTACGAAAGGCGTAGCGATGGTTTTGTCCAAGTAATATACTATATTTATGCACGGTTATCATTCGTATTTTCTCGAAAAGCCGAAACGATTTTTGTGACGTCCTAAAGTTTCCTTGATTATTTTTTTTTGACGCGCGTTGTTTAGGTTTTATAGAGAGTTTATCATAAGCCGCGTTTACATGAATGCGACTTAGTCGCATCGAATCCAGTTGTCGCATTCAATCCGGTCATGTATACGATATAATGCGCTAAGGAAGCGCATCGCGTTCAAGTCGCTATACAAAGGTGGATTGAGACGACAAATGCACATGCATTCAGCCCATGTAAGCGGAGATCGCATCACATTTTGAAACGGGTGGATTATGGGAAGTCGTTCGCTGTTGGAGCGAGTGAACAGCTGGGAACATGGCGGCGGCAAACTTTGGCGGCGGCGGCGGAGAGCGATCCGTCCGGTGTGATCGCCCGCAGTTTTCTCCTAAGAAGAAACGCGAGCTTTTATTGCCAAACTAAGTGAGCGGAATATAACTGAGCCGCTCGGTGAGGGTGGCCCCCGTCCAAGCCTTTCGAAATACGATTTGCGTGTTTAAGGGAGTGCCTAGAGGCTTCGGCACAAGCACGAACGACGCCGAGAGATCCAAGCACTAGCGCAGGACGAGGAGCTGCTTCCTCGGTGCCGTTCCTGGCTGCGCCGGAGCCTTTCGGTTTCGGGGTTCGGTCGCGGTCAGCAAGGTTGGGCGAGGCGAAGCGCGGTGGCATCTTCAGAGCGGTTGGAAACGGTCTCGCTCGCCAGGCCGTGCGCATGCACGTCGCCTCTTATCCAGAGTGGCCCGGCGGCCCGACGCGGATCCCAAAACGCTCGGGTTGTGATGTTTCTTCCGTCTCGTAACTTCTTGCACGGCATCGAAGACAGCGGGCACGATCTTTACGCTCGCCGAAAGCGTCAAAAGGCCTTCACGTGCGATGCACCAGAAAAAGTGGTCACGTGGTGCGGCCGGTGCCGGAAACGCAGCTTTAACTTATAGCTTTGACACGGCGATGCGCCACTTTCACTTAGGGCTTGGTGCGCATTCATGTAAACGTTGCCGCGTCGGCTTCCTTCGAAGTACGATTGGAGTCGATGCGCTGAAGTCGTATTCATACAAACGCGGCTATACTATTTGAACATATTTTTTTTAAATTTTTTAATAGATGGTGAGAGACGAGTTCTTTTTTCAACGTATATTTATCAGGCTCAGCGAACATTAGACGAGGGAACAATCGTCACGGTGAGTTTAGTAATTACCTAAAACTCTTAATTAACTTCACTTAACTAAATTTATATAGGCATCCCCCATTGTAACACCTCTACATTTAATGCCTCCCTTCTTCACCAAACCTCAATAGATTGGAATCGCCTTCCCGCGCACATACTCTCTGATGCTGCTGATTTTAAAAATGCCATCACTTATTTTATTGTTCCTCCTTGGCCATTGTTCTTATTTTTGCCTTGTTCGTTGATATACTCATATATTTTTATGTTAAAACTCACTCCTCTATGTAATACCTTCGGATCCTTAGAGAAAATAAATGAATTGAAATGAAAATATTGGGTTCGGGGGTCATGTGGGAATTTCAGTATTGACGGCAATTACAAATTGGGGGGGGGGGGGGGGGGAGGCCACACCAGACGTCAATATTGAAATTCCAACCTGACCTCCATACGAAAAATTAAAAAAAAGTTAGTTGCGATATTTTAGTTAATTGGTCAACTTACACGATTATTGTTTGCTCTAATGTCCGCCGAGACTAATAAGTACATGCTGAAAACATAACTCATCTAACTCTAAGCCCCTATTTAAGAAGAAAAAAAAAAGTGTGTTCGAATTAAAATAAACAACACCCTGTATACCATTAGGATTAAAAAAATCATTGGTATAAAAAAAAAGTATGCCACGTGTTTTAGTTTAGCGATATCTACTTGAGGGGTGAATGCATTACCCGCAATATGTACTGATCTCCGCTCATAATAACAAGTATGTTTTGACAAAAACTACCGAAATTGAGACAGTTACATTGGTGGAAATGAGACATGGAAAACCAAATGTGTTTAGGTTGGGGTGAAATGGCAAGTAATAAATGATCGAAATACGTTCCCGATTTCGAAGCTCTCGTCTTTTTCAGTGCTCTTAACTCAGACACTTACCTCAAGGAACGGCTTATTGGTATTTCGCTCCCGGCCGAGAATGATGTTAACAAAGACCACGACCACGTGCACGAGGTACGCCGCAAACGAGAGTCGGCCCAGCGGGTAGAGAAGCGGGTTGGCGAGGATCTTGTTGACGGGTCCACCACGGCCTGTTGCGCATGCGTACATGACCCAGGAGACTGCAAAGCCCCAGGCGACCCGGTGCAGTGCGGCGTAGACCACGGACTCTAGGTGCTCGGGCGCGCGACCCCTGTTCCAGGAGTAGATACCGAACAGCGACGTGCAGGCAAAGGTCGCCGCCACCGTCCACCAGAACACATGCGCCTTGCGAGATAGCTGGTGCGGCTTGGCGGCGAAGGAGCCAAAGATGATCGCAGTAAAGAGGGATCCGGCGTGCGCAAAGGCCTTGTTGTAAACGTGCATGGCAGTATCGGACAGAGCTCTGTGGACGAAAAAATAACGCTAGAAATGTATAGACCCGGGGTGGTGTACCTCACTCAGTCTACCGCCCTTTTGTATATGAGTAAAAAAAGACAAATTAGACGATCCTGTTAAACAGTGTAAGGTCGGTAGGCCTTCGAGGCACGGCGGCACTGACTTACGATGTAGCTGAAATATTTAGCCGGAACAGTACCACTCCGAGCCTGGGGTCTTTAACGTGCATAAATCACTTGGTATACGGGACCGCACGCAGGTACACGATGCTCATATAGAGCGAGACGGGAGGGGTAGGGATTGAACCCACAGGATACCTAGATTCTGCAGCGCGGGCTTTTGATAAACTGGACCGATATTTTGACCACATATACGTTTCCTAAAGTCTCGATGGCGTCCGGTTTATGGTCTCTGGAGAACTTCAGTGCATGATTTGCGAGCAGAAGGATCTCCCTGTAACAATTGATTTATTCTACAGTCTAAGAAATGCCTGCACGTCTACTTACCCGCAAAACCCTAAAAGAGCCAATCTCTGCCATCTACGAAATTAGCTCAGCGAATGATGAGGCGGAACATACGTTTAGACCTAAAAATCAAGTCTGCGCTGTTGCATTACGCAATGCAAAGCGTCATGCTTGCATTGCGCAATGCCACAGCGCAGACTTAATTTTGAGGTGAAAACATAAGTCCCGCCTCATCATTCGCTGAGCTGATTTCAAATATCGCATAGATTGACTCTTCCATTGTTTTGCGGGTAAGTAGACGCGCGTGCATTCCTTAGAGCGTGTGTATACAATATGGCATTATTAGACCGCCAATGATCAATTGAAAGACATATTGCCTGTCTGCTTAGTTTGCTGAGCCAATTCCACCCAGATGGCCAGGACTGCACCCCGTCTTTTTCCTCTTCCCTCACAAGCGTCATCACTAGTGGATACATGCAACGCCGCATAACCTTGCATCAGCATCGTCGACAGCGCGTCTAGCATCGTCTCACCACGAACACGAGGTTAGCACGCGGCGATGCTAAGACGGATTAACCACGGATCTCGAGAGCTCTCGTCGAGCTCGCGAGATCCCATAACGATGCCGTAATGCACGTGCCTTGCCTTCTAGGTGTTATAGGATGAGCACGATTAGGAGGAACAAGCTGATCTTACACTACAGGACGGAGGTGAGGGCTCAGTGCGCCTATTTGATTAGCGGAATGGTTAAGCTCATTTAGGTGCTTAAACGTGAGCCTGTTACGTACTGGATATCCAATGTGAGGACGAGATGTACAGGCAAGTAGTTGTAGAGGTGCGTGACTACTCCCACGGCGATGCAGGTTGAGACAACAATTGCTGCCATGATGGCTATACCCACTTTCGGACACCTTTAATTAAAAGAAAAAATAAATGGGTTAATGCTCAAATTATTTAAAAATAGATATAAATATAGATATCGTATGCACGCAGCAAGGTCTCACCTTGAAAAGATTGCCACTAGGATGATTGTTCTGACGACGTACAGTTGAAACTCCGCGGAAGGGTACCAAAAATGCGGCAAGCACTGTGAAGTAAAATGTAAGGGTAAGAAACTTGGCCTCCGTTGTCCTATACTTGGGGACAACTTTTTTTCGGTAATGAAGCCAAATCTATTGGTGCCCGCGCGCCCGCGAACATTGAACGCCTATCGCAGCTGTGCTCGCACAGTCTTCACTTCGGAAACACCAGAAAAAGCTGTCCCCAAGCGTAGGTAAAAAGAGAGAAAGTAAGAACTGCATATATACTATAGACAATTCGCAGCAGCTGTCCATGGGCGCCGCCATAACTGATCTTCAGTTTTTGTTTCCTCTTATTTGCTTTGTATCACTTAATCATTACTATAACAGGTCAAGTTATTGCCATCTTAGATTCTATTGTGTCCTTCTCCCCAGCATTGGCATCTGTAAAGGCTCGTCAACACTCGTTTCAGCAGCTTGGTATCTCGGTAAGACTAAAGTCACTGGATCCTGGGAAAGTAGCGCCAAGCTCCCCGTATGGTCGCCATCTCGGTCCGTGAAATTGGCAATTCCTTTTTGACCCCTCCACCTTGGTGAGCCCATCTAAATTCACTGGTGACGGGTAGCTTTATGGAGACGTCTCTTGTATACTGAGATTGTGCTATCCACACACCGGCGGAACAAGCGTACATCTTCGTACCACCACATGCTGTGTCGGTGCTTGGAGGCACTGAAAAATAATTTTACTGTTTTGAAATACGCAAGAAGAACAATATAACTGTAAGAGATCCATGGAGATGGGCATGATTAATAAGTTGATAGTATAGACAGTGCCGAAGACGCTTACAGTGGCGAGGAACTCTTCCGGTACTATGATGCTCCATGGTGATCTCGGCGCAACTGGTTTAGAAGGACCCTCTGGAAACTTCGAAGATTTGAATGGACCGAGATAGCGATTTCTATGGAAACGTAGACGGAACGCCCGCGAATTGAGACGGCTAATTGGACATTTTGACTTGGTGGACTGCTGGACCCTTCTCCACGGTGCCACTTTCGAGCACACCTGGCAACGTGGTGGGTCAAGCAGCCACCTGGACAGGGTCTACATCACCGAGACCCTGGCCTAAGCCGTTCAACCTTCTGGGGTTGTGGACTTCCTACCCGCCATCGGTAACATCTCAGACCACCGGCCACTGCTCGCGGAGCTCTGTCTGGCTCCCTTGACCGGGCACCAACGCTTCTGGCTTTTGGACTCCCGCGTCCTGCGGAACCCGACGAGCCGCGACCGCCTGAAAGAAGATTTGCGCCGGTCTCTCCTTGGAGTGACGCCATATCCAGCGAACTGGAACCACCTTCTGGAAACCTGGCGGGTGGTGTGCGTGACGGAGGGCCGTGCCCTGCGCCAGCGGCAAGTTGAAGAGCTCCGCGAAACATCGCTGCGAATCCGCATCGTACGTCGCGGGGGCGCTGGGACTCCCCTTATGAGGGGCTACCTCTCGCAGCTCCTCGACCGGTACCAACACCTACTACGGGCGTGGACGACAGCAGTGGCAGTTCTTTAGGGGAGGGGCGGACCCTCCTTCCACCCCGAAGTGCTTCGCTACACACACCGCACACAGGCGAAGGAGCGGCGAGTCCCGCCCGTTCCAGTTCCTCCATCGACGCCTCCGCTTGGCCAACCTTCTGTCCCAAGCTTCAGCTCCCACTTCGACGTCCTGGCGACTTCGGAGTCAACGATAGACCGCGTGACCCTGGCGACGCACCCTTTCCTGCACGGCCCCTCCAAAGTTCAACCCACCACTGGCCATCAGCGTTTCAAGCCTCCCAATGCAGTGGAGGTTCACAACGCTCTGCTGAAAATGAAGACTGGATCTGCGCCGGGCCCGGATGAATTCCCGACCGAGTTTTACCGCACATTCTGGGATGTGCTGGGGGAATATGTCTGTGCAGTCCCCCGCACCGTCTTCACGGAGCTCCGCCTGCCGGAGTCCTTCCGGCAGGGCAGCATAATCCTCTTGCCCAAGGAAGGAAGGGACCCCAGCGATCCAGGGGCGTGGCGACCCATCAATTTGCTCAACGCAAGTTACAAGCTGCTCGCTTCGGTGCTTGCACAACGGCTACACGACATCCTCCCGGACATTGTAACAACGCACCAGACGTGTTCGGCCGTGGGCCGCAACGTCCACACACTGTCATCACTCACAAGAGACGTGCTTCACTACACGAACTCTCGCTGCGCCAGGGATTTGATCGCCTCCCTGGACCAGGCGAAAGCGTTCGACCGGGTTGAGCACCCCTTCCTTTTCGCTATGCTCGACGCCTTCGGTTCCCCCCGGAGGGTTTTCGCCTCTTCATGGTCCTGTACGCTGGCATGAAGAGTGATCTGTGCGTAAACGGTAGCGTGGTGGCCAGCTTCCCCGTCACGCGAGGCGTACGTCAGAGCTGCCCACTCTCGCCGCTCCTCTTTGTTCTGTCGCTTGAGCCGTTCCTCACCAACATCGACCAGTGCTCCCTGGTGCGCGGCCTCCCTCTCCCCGGCAGCGGCGAGGTGAAGGCGACTGCGTACGCCGACGACATCACACTGCACCTAAGCGACGCTCACGACCTCGGCGTGGCGCCTCAGGTCTTTACGACGTACGGCTCGCTCTCGTGTGCACACCTCAATGAGCAAAAGAGCAAAGCGTTGTGATTTAACTGCCCACCAGAACCAGCCTCCCCGCTCCGGGTGATTGCCGTGATGAAGATCCTAGAAGTAACGTACAACGCGATGGGAATCTCGCCCGAGTTGTGGACCCGCCTGGCGCGCGACATCACGCCAAGTGTTGATCATGCCCGTGACTACGCTCTCCCCATGGCCGAGCGCCGGTACCTGGACCGCTCGGTGTTCTGTGGGCGTCTCTGGTACCTAGCGCAGGTGGTAATACCACCGCGGAGCTTCATCAGACAAGTGCGAAGTTCTCTGTTCAGATTCTTCTGGATGGAGAAAACCGAGCTCGTCACCCGTCAAGTGCTCTCCCTGTCGCGCAAGAAGGGAAGATGGGGCTTCCCCTGCGTGGATGGCACGCCCGCGCTACTGCAGCTCAAGACCATGCTCATGATCCTACACGAAGCTGAGAACCCGGCCATATCTCTCGCTCTCTACTTCGTGGGGCACTCCCTCCGAGACCTGGGTATTGACCTCGCCGGCCCGTCGGGTGCCTGTGCTGAGACAACGACCCCGGCTTACTGGAAAGCGCTTCAGTTGCATCGCCGCCTCGTGGAGCAGGCGCCACAATTGGACATCACGACAACACCAGCGTCACGCCTCGCCCAAACCCTGTTGGAACCACAGCTCACTCTCGTGCAGATCGGACTCTCGTATTCGTTCCCATGGGTCCGCCTCACCTCCTCCAACCTTCCAGGACACCTTCGAGACTTCGAGCGGCAGCGCGGATGGGGAGTGCTTCCCACACGAGACCGGCTACTTCGGTGGGGCGCGTGTCGCACCGATTAGTGCCCGAACTGCGACGACCGAGAGACGAACGTGCATGTTGTGTCGGAGTGTGTGGCGACGCGCCCGTTCTGGCGGGTGGTTTGCGCTAGTTTTCTTGGGCTGGGCTTCGGGGCTCTTTGTGTGCCTTCTGCTCGCCGCGAGCGAGTACGTCCTTTGGCGAAACTGGTGCTGCGCCGTGGGACAGGGATGGAGGTTGCGCGCGCTCTTGCCGCTTTTGTTGAGGCTACGACGGGAGCTCGTGTCCCACCTCGAGGCGCAACTGTTCCTTCTCGGAGAGCAGGAGTTCCTGCAACGCTGGTCCTTCCGATACCTCCACGTGCACAACTCTCGTATCGTACTGCGGTTTCAATACGTCGATCATATCTAGACCGCGTTAGGCGGAGAAAGGGAGAACGAGACGCGATGCGGCCCTCTCTTTGAGGTGTCGCACAGTCTAAGAAAAAATGGAGGAAAAAAGTAGCAACGGAGCGTCCTCCTCCCTTCTACTGGCGCGCCCCCAAGCGGACACCACAAAAAGGGGAGGAACGAAACGTTTTTCTCCTTCTCCAGGCAGACGGGAGCAAGCTTTCGCCCTTCCGACTCATCTTCTTTCGGTTTCGTTTTTCGAGCAGGTCGCGCACGTTGTTTAATAAATAGCTCTTGAGTTGATTGAGTTTCAGCGGCAGCGAAGGCCGCCTGTAATTCCGTCTTCTAGTCTAAACGTGCAGAAGGTTTCGGTTGCATTGACGTTTTTACCACTAATTTTATCAAATGAGCAAACGAAGACGCTAGAAACAGCGAAGTTCCGGAGCAGTGCCAGCAGCGCCACGTACACTGGGGGATGGCCGTCTCCGGATTGCGGGACTCGCGCGGCACGGAACTACAGTAGCGAAAGCACTCGGAACTGTGTCGACGTTTTCGACGTTATGGAAACCGCAGGGAACTGCGTCCAAGACAGGCAGGTTTTGCTGCCGGCTGCCTGGGTGCCTTCCGTGCTGAGTTCGGTTCTGCTTTCCGATGCCGAGTGCGACCGGCGTTCAACGTGGTTCTGTATTTGTGCGTGTCAGCAACATAGCTGCAACATCGTGATGGCAGTGTTGTGGCTTGTGAACAGAAGACTGGAATTATCGCCGATGTGACCGTGTGTGCGCGTATCAGTGGTGTAACAAGAAGATGAGATCGTAAACTGTCAGGCCTTGATGCCGCTGGTCGGGCCGTGATCGGAGGGGGCGGGGGGTCGCGGGTTGAGATTCCGCTTTACATTAAAAAGTTTAATACCACTTGAGGGATTACGTGCAATCGATCAACGTGCGGATAGTCATGCTGGAACGCGTGTCTGAACTGTAGAAGCTCCTATCGTACAGCGGCCAATGTGACTGTCGGAATTGTCTCGTCCCCGAGAGCGATTGTGCTCTGGGGCAAGGACTGAACAGTACGAAATCGCAACGGAAAGTACGTATATTCAAAGTATGGAATTTCGGCATTAAAAAACAATAGTAGGTGAAATCAAAATAAAAGCTACCCTTTATTTTGCTGTTTAAATATACTACGGTTCCTGGAGAAACTGCCCTCCAAGTGGCGCGCTGGGATGAGCGCAAGAAGTTTTCAAGCTCGCCACGGCGTAGCTCCGTACATGTAACACCTGCCGCAAGTCGCGGCTTTGACTGCATTCAAGTTGATCGAAAAGCGATTTCTCAGCCCGTGAAGCATCACTTCCAGCTGAGTGAATATCCGCTCTACAGAGATTAATTCAAGACGGCAATTGCAGCTTTGCGCGAACAGCACAAATAGAAAAACAAACACTACAATAGAAATACAGGCTATGACGTGCCGTGCGGGGAAACAAACTCATGGCTTCGAACCGCATTGGAGCGGCTTGATTTATTGCTTCCAAATAATTACGGCGTGATCGAGCGTTTGCTTTTTAATAAAAGATTCATCCCCTGAGCCATTCCAAATACTCTTAGAGGTATGACATTGCATGAAAAAAATCAACATGCTGGTAATATTTTTTATTGCTTATTCAGTTACCGAAAAATTTTGTACATTCAAAACGACCAGTATAAAAGACGGAAACGCCGAGCACGGGTGTGGTGTTCGGGCTAGTGTGGTGTGCCCCGGTATTCATGTTTGTATGTGCCCTGTATGTGTATGTGCTCAATGTATGTTCACCTGATGCTTGTACTATGCGTAATGTGTGTATAGTAGAGGATCCCCATGTGCAATAGTGGCCTGAGAAAATGAAATTATTTTTTGTAGAGCATGAATTAGTCGGTGCCTAGCGCCACCTAGCCTAGCAAGTTGCAATTACTCTGCTTGACCCTGCAATCTGGTGGCAAGCGATTTAACCTTCTTTCACGCTACGCGATAAACAGCAGCTTCGAGTTTGTTCTTTTGAGAGCGGCTTTTGGTTTCCCGGATTGGTTTGTCGTTTCTCCGTGATGCGCGGTTGGCGAAAGAATTGTGACTCGAGGAACACCAAAGGTAAGACGCAAAGTGCGCGAAGTAACTGGGTATCGGTTGTCTCCGTTTAACATCCTAGTGCTGTCGACGAGAGGACCGAGTAACTGTTTTCGAAACGCAAGTTTCTGTACCTGTGGGGGGGAATCTGGCTTCGGAAATAAACACAGTTTGCGGAAAGCTCGTGTTAAGCTTTTATTTGCTGCTGCTCTCGTCCCGTACACGAGACGTAGCGTCCTCGTTAAGCCTTATTGAGCTCGATTTGCTCGATTTAGGGCCGCCATAATGAGATGCAGGCGACGGAGGAACTTTGCTCCCCTGCTTCAGGGACGAAATTTTCTCTCTTTCTAAAGGAACATAGGTTACAAGACCGTTCCTCCCCTAAGGGAGGGCTATCCATACCCTTTCTTGTAAGAGTGCAGGGACGGGACGTGCGAGCGCGGTACCGGTTGGTGAATCTTTACGCGAGTGATCGCGCGGATGGGCGCTTTTCCGGGCAGCGGGCGAGTGCCCGCGCCTTAGGCATGGGGTTACCTAGCTTGGCTTGTGGATCGTAGAGCCTGTATATACTGTACATAGCGCGTTTTCGGTTTTTGGTTTTGTTCTAGGCATGACACCTTTGTTGTAAATAAACGTTTTCTAGCCAGATTAGTCTACGTTCTCAGCGGCGCCATGACACCCGCATCGCCACCCCAGCCTACGAAGGCATGTACGTTCGATGTTTCCTGCCCGCCCGGCGCGTCGGTGGATTCCATCTTCGACGCGGCGGCGACCATTGTCGGCACTGCCGAATCGTTCTCCGTGCAGCATCCGGGAGGCAGCAACTTCCAGCTGTCTGTTACATCGTCGTCGGCCATGAGCCGAATCGTCAACGCC